TAGTCTGTCTTATGTAAAGGCAAACTGATTTTAAGTTCTTCTAAAAAAAATTTGTATCCCACAAAACTTATGACAAATTTATAGTGCTGTCTAATATAAAGTTAAGTTATTCAGGTTGAATCTCTGCCAGACTTTAAAAGAGGAAAATTTCAAATAAAAAAGCAAAGACTCCCAACAAATGGACAGTTTCTATATTTTGCAAGTAATATGTGATGTTTTATTAAACTGTAAGAATCTTACTTCTTTCTCTTAAAGATCTTCACTTGGCTTTGGAAGCTGCCTTTCTCTTAAATGAATACACTACAGATTTGCTTCATTATTGTTTCATACTCCTTTTAGTAATAAATACAACATTTGTTATACTTAGGAGTAATTCCAACACTAATCTTAGCACTGATTTCTACATAGAAGTAGAAGAAATGGAGACTGTCACCCCCTCAAGGACCTTATTTTAAAAAGTATAGAGTGTAGTAAAATTGAAGCATATATCACTATATACTCTAAATTAAGGAGAGGTTCAGAGATGCTTTTTAGAGGAATTGAGTCTCACGGACAGGTGAGAGTGAGCCTGGGAGAAGGAAGAGGAGAGAGTGTCCCTGTAGATGGATCAGCTTGTGCGGAGACCCAGAGGTGGGAGAGCATGGTGCCCGAAGGGTCTAAGAGTTCAGTGTGGCCGGAGTGTGAGGGTCAGGAGGTGAGGGGGACGGATTCCTGTAAGGCTTTATTTAGCTTTGATACTGAGTTTGGACTTTATCGCTGACCAGGCATCGAACCCGAAACCTGAGTACGCGCCCTGACTGGGAATCGAACCCGCCACCTTTTGGCGTATGGTACGATGCTCCAGCCAGCTGAGCCACACCGGCCAGGCCAGAGGCAGAGGCGTTGGCTGGGGATGGTGGGGATGGTGGGGATGGTGGGGATGACAGTAAACACGCAGCACTCACAATGGGTTTTATCTACAAATTTTGCATTTTTTTTATAAGCGTGCTGTATAAAACTGGTGCCTTTTCCCTTACCGTTTCCACATGCTGGGCTCGCTGGCACGTGCTGCTTCCTCTGGGTGGGTCAAATATCTTGACCCTCCGGGCAAATCTTTCTTAACTTAAGAAGTGCATTAGTTTCCCTTTACTGCTAGGAGAAAATAACCACAAACTTAGCAATTTAAAACAACACAACTTTATTATCTTACAGTTTGGGAAAACAAAAATCTGAAATGAGCTAAAAAAGAGGTGCCGGTCAGGCTGTATTGCTTCGGAGGCTCTGGGGGGAGCCATCTCTTTCCTGGCTCTCCCTCCGCTTCCAGGCCAGCAGCTAACCACTCACATTGCTATCCCAGTCCTCCCGGTTATGATGTGGGTATTTTAAAGCTTTTACTTTTATTTGTAATCATATTTATTTTGATGTTAGTAAAAGAAGCTTTCCAAATTACATTTAATGATTTCTGAGCATTATTTGCCTTTTTTTATCTCTCTAATTTGATAAATTATAATAAATGAACTGTAATTATGTCTCATCATAGTATTAATCATGACAGCTAGCATTTGTTAAGTGCTAGCTATGTGTCAGGTCCTTTATTTGTGTCATCTCATCTAATCATTACAACAGCCACATGAGGGAGGAGGGGGTGTCCCATTTTACACATGAGAACACTGAGACTCAGAGATGTTAACTATCCCAAGGTCCTATAGCTAATATTTGCTAGAGCTGGAATTCACACCAGATGTTTCTGCTACTTTCTACTACCTCAGTGGTGTCTTTATGGTGAGTTATTTTAGTATACATAAAAATATGTGAAATATGATTGGTATGGTTATAACATTTCTATTTTCTCTATTAGGCAATTAGGAAATAGTTAACTGAAAAATGTAAAGCTAAGGAAGTGGCTCCTTGCCCCACCCCCCCGAACAAATCAGGGAGTATATCTTCTTCAACTATTTTCCTAAATGAAGCATTAAAAAAATGACAAAATGTTTTTTGACATTTGGAAAGGCATATAACACCTGTGCTCTCACCACTTGTCTTGAAATGAAGTCTTACCAGAGCTGTTGAAAGGCCTCTGTGCATCCCCCCAATCTCCTCTTCCTCCTGTCCTCAGTAGTAAACACTATCCCAGCATTGGCATTTGTCATATCCTTGCAGCTTATGTATCTTTGCAGTAATCTGGTGGCTGAGTGCTGAGTGTATGTGTGTTGTTGTGGTGTTCATGCTATTATTTTTCTGAAGGACTTTACCTTGTGTCCGCTTGTTTTGTCATTGTTTTCTAAGATGATCTCGATTTGTACCAGGACTGAGTCATGCCACCTTGTGCTCTCCCCACCCTGTCTTATAATATGGGGAATAAAAAAGGACTCAGTGTCAGAGTCCACAGCTATGGGACAGATGATCAGCTCAACAGGCTGGCCTTTTCTCCATGATCTGAAGGCAAATTGGCATAAAGAGCCCACCATAAATAATCTTGAGGACCTCATGACAAACTTTTGAAGATGAGTGGGTTAGACCCAGATCCAGCTTAAGTTTCAGGTGGGTGAGCACATTCTGTGCTTCTAGCATTCCCCAGGTATAAAAATCAAGTGAGGTCGTCTTCACTTGTCTTGGTCTTGTGAGAGGTTCCCAGCAGCGTCAGAGTATAGTTTGGACTTGGTCACATGAGATGCCCCCCCAAAGCGAAGGGAAAGGACATCCTCAAGTTGGCAAAGACTTGAAGGAGGCTTCTCCAAAAAGAGAGAGACACAAACCCAGGAACAAAGTAAGTTGCTAAGTAAGAGGTAGCTTCAAAAATGTTTCTGCTTCAGTATGATTGGTTTATGGGGAAAAGTAGAGACCAAGACTTTCAGGGGAGAGAGGAAAGGGGAAAACAGGTAATAAGATGAGGGAGAGGCGACCAAGAGTTGTGATTGTGGCGCAGATTGAGGACAGGGGAACTACAGAAAATATGCTGCTCTTGGGATTAAATGCCTGAGACACAACAGTGGTTTGTAAAGAGAATAGTGAATGCCTGGAAAATATCAGGAACTGGCTCTCTTAGTACCTGGGACAGTGAGTGCTCAGGCATTAATTGATGGTGCACTGATACAGTCTCATCAGCTTATGAAAGTTTTCCTATGAAAGCATATATTTGTGTACAGGATGGTTTTTTGTAAATGAAGGAATGTTATAACCTACCTGACAACTTCTCTGAGTATTCTATTAACAAATTTCTTTTTAAAGGTAATCGGATGGTTCTTCTTGTCATCATAAAAGTAGTGTTTCCGTTGCTCATGAAGCGTGATTCAAAAAACTTCCTGCTAACGTTCAAGTGCCTGGAGGTTGTGCACAAATTCTTCATTTCTTTCATAAAACCAACTTTGTTGACTTTTCTGTAAAGAAGTGCAACTACTAAACATTCTTGCCCTGGCTCCTTTGTTAAAGTGCCGCTGTTCTTGCTCTGCACACGCCTTGTAATTCAGGCCTGCTTTTGTCTCGGGTGGGCCGGGCCAACTGTTAGAGCTCTTGTCTGATTGTGTGGAACTCCTTATTTTAATGGGAGCAGCTTCTTTGCTGCATTTTTAAAAAGTGGTCTAAGGAGCTTCTTACTGTGGATCTTTGTTGGGGACAAAGGATTATTTATGCTAAAGGAAAATGTATTCCCCGCTGACTTGGCTCGTGGGAAGCATAACAAGCTCATTAGTAATGCTCAGTTGTACTCTGCCCTTTTGCTGTGGCAGGAGAGGAAAAATGACATCAGAAAGGACATTCTGCTGTCCTTTGCCTTCCCGCAAAGAAAATGTGATGTAATATTAGACTTTTCAGTTAGGTTTAGCTCAAGTTCAAATTCAGTACCAGAAGAAATGTTCCTGAGAGGAAGGCGGTATGTGTAGTTGGCACCGTGCATGAGGTGTGTGTGTGGTGTAACTTAGAGGAGAAAGTAACTTTTCCTTGGAAATTGATAGCATTAGAGCTTATAAACTGTTTTAGATGTTTTCTGAGACTCTTTTAATGTTGGTTTACAGGAAAAAATAACTAGTGTATTATGCTGCTTGTAAGCAATTAAAATTCCTAGGTTGTATATAGTCTATTCCGAGTGCTTTTAAACTTCACTTTTTTTTTTCTTGTCTGAAAATACATTAAAGAATTGTATTAACCTAACTTAAAGTTGTGGCTTTTTTTCTTACAGATTTCAAGAATAGCACTTTGGAGCTAAATTATACTGTTCCTTTTTCTTTGTTTTGGTTTTTTTTTTGTCTTTAGCACCTTATGGAGGAAATATCTTATAAAACATTATTATGGAAAGGCATCAAGTATTGTTTCATAGTTAAGATCGGTGTTTATGGCTATACCTTGTCATCTGGCAAAAGAAGCTCATGGTTAAACTTGTGAATTTATGCAAAGTCCAGATGAACTTTTATGATCTCCATGTAAAGGCCGGATGGGAGATACTTGACTTTTAGTCTCAGTTGCTGTGATATATGTATTTACATTATGTTCATAGAGGGAAAGTCTGGAAGGCTTTTATATGGCTAAGTTTTATTGTTAATTTTAGTTTGCTAGCCAGAGCTTCGTGAATTACTTTGAAGCCAGATGTTTCAGGAATTGGCTTGCTTGCTGTCGTGTAGTTAGTAAGAGTTCTCACCACACAGCATTTTCTTTTTTGGTAGATTACTAAATAAAAAAGAGAGAGAGCTGGGGGCGGGGGAGCACACAGGACTCTTGAGCCACATCACCCCTGTTCCCTCTACTGCTTCACTTCTTTATCCTGTTGGGGCTGGGGGGGAGTGGATCACTTTGATGCTAGTACCAGAAACTAGATATTAAAGTATGTGTTAGGTTGTCCTGTTTCCAATGAAGAGTACTTTTATGAAGTAAGAAGTGATTATTGATCTTATAGTCAAATGATTCTAATTAGAAGAAAAAGTTTTAGGTTTTCAGCCAAATAGAGCAGAGCAGATTCCTTGTAATTTGAGGGTTTGGGGGAGTAGGAAAGCTGCCGTTATCTGCATATTAATGTTTTGTTCTGTTTTCAGAAAAGCAGTTTCATTTGAATATTGCTGACCATGCAGCCTGCAGTTCAAGTAAGTGTTTTTCTTGGAAAAAATATTTTTATGAGATTAATAATAAAATTATGATAGTAAAATACTAAAATTATTAAAATGTTTTTATTGTATTAGTTTTTAAGCATCAACTTTTAATAACAGAAATATTGTATTTTGACTTTCTACTTCTGAAAGGATTTTAATTCTGGGCTTATATTGAATATTTGTAAGAGTCAAAAATACCTTATGGTTGATGGGTCCTTATTTATGCTACTCTGGGAAAAGAATTGGGATATTTTGTAGGCTTTCTCTCATTACAATTTAGTATATATTTAGTTAAAAAGCTTTCAGTGAAAACAAATATAAATGTTTTGTTTTAGATAATTGTGCATGTGCCTTATAACCAATTATGCCTGTAAGTAACCAAATATTAAAATTTAAAGGGTGGTTTTTCGTCGTTGTTTCTTTGTTTTTGTTTGTTTGTGGTGGGGGAGGCAAGGTGAAGGTGATGAGACAACCCAGAATGACCTTGCACCGGGATGATTCCCAGGGTGGGTACAGTAGTTGCTATGTTATTCTGATATCCTCTTAAGTTCTTTTTCTTTTGCTATGAATAGAACAGGATTCACTATTCACTTAAAGATAAAAACCACTTTGAAGGTCTACCTAGAAAGGTGCAAGCAGCCGATAATGAAATCTGCTTGGAAAGTGAGAACTTCAGAGTCAGTCGGGTTTCATTTCTGAGCCTAGTTCTGTGCCTCCAATGGTGAGGTTCGGGCAGGTTATTTACCTCTCCGGGTGTCTGCTTCCATGCTCTAAAGTGAGGGCCGTGGCCCCGACGTTGCAGGGTCGTTGTGAGGCATCAGTGACAACACCAGGTGCCTACTGGAATGGGTATTGTGTAGTAGGCACTGGAGGAGTTGGATTGCATCATTTGTACAACAGAATAACCAAGATGTACAAGGGGAGGTTACACCCGTGCCGTGCAGGCCTTTCTTTCTTTTTACTTTATTACTTCTGTTTTCCTAAGAAAGGAGGCTTACGGAGCTACCAGTGGTGATGGCCTGGGGAGAGTTTCTGAGCTGGTGGGGAGCAGCGGAGAGGGGCCCTGGGCGCCTCCTGCTGTTGGGTGCTCAGCGCTGCTCCTGTTTTCCTAAGTCCCTGGTGTGTCCCAGGCCTGCTCTTGTTGTCCTAAGTCCCCGGCCTGTCCCAGGCCTGCTCTTGCCCTCTGGGCCTCCTCAGCCCGTGTTGAGTAGGATCAGAACGTCCTTACTCCAGACCACTTGTTATCTCTTATCCTTTGTGCCATTTTTTAATCCACGTTTCAGAAATGTCATCAGGCTCACGTTGATCATGTTTTTCTGATTCCTTCTCGTGTGCTTCTTGTCATTGCCACACTGACCGTGTTTTTCTCATTTCTACATGAGTGGCCATTAATACTTTCTTAACTTGGTGAATATTTTCGTAGTTTTGCCTTGCCGTTCTGTGAAACCTCCTCTAACCGAGATCCGTCCCCATGGACTCTGTAAGGCAGTGCTCGTTAACCCATCTGATAGCCAGGAGCTGAGACCCGGGGCAAGTAACTTGCAAAACTCACCTAACAAGTGGAGCGAAAATACAACTTGTTGATTTTTACCCTCTTGGCTTGATAGTAGAATTTGTTCATTAAGTAGGGGTTCCCTTAAATTTACTGCAGTACTGAATATTGAAAGTGCCTCAAGTATCTCGACTAATAGTTTGCTTCTAGCGCATACACTTCTGTGTGTTGCTGCGGTTTTGCATGTGTTGTGTTACATACGGCCTGTAATTCGTGTTTAAATGGAGATGTGGGTATGCCGACTTAACAAGACCACGCCCGTGCATTTGGTTGATGCTTTCTCCAGGTGTGGTTTGGAGAAGACCTGCCTCTGAGTCCACGGAGCCCCCTGGCGCCCAGGCACGGGCCCGGCTTGGCTGACGTGTGTCAGTATGACGAGTGGATAGCTGTGAGGCACAAGGCCAGCCTGGTGCCCATGCAGGAGGACCTGGCCATCTGGCTGTCCGGGTTACTAGGTAAGGCCTGGAAAGACACCCAGAACTGTCTTCTCCGATTCAGTAAATGTTTATTGCGCATCTTATCCTTTGTCAAGGACGCTCGTTCCAGAGGCTGCGAGTACTCACGTGAGGGGGACGTTCAGTGTCCGTGTCCTCGCGAAGCTCATGTTCTTGCTGGGGAGATGCTCCGTTTTACCCTGACCCTCAGGCTTGGATCGTAGGGAAGTTTGAGGTTTAACAGAAGATGCCAGTACACTTTTAATAATCACATTTTCACTGTTAATGTTAATTTTTTTTTTTTTAAGTCTATAGGTCTAACTTTGGGATCTATATTTTACTGATTTTTTTCTCCTTAGCCTTGTCTAAGGTCTGAGGTTCTGAGTGGTATTCATACTGTGGTTAAATTGATTATTCGTCCTCAGGCATTGGGAGGCAGAGGCATGAAACCTGGGGGGCGATGCCAGGCAGGAGACTGGCATTACAGCGCTCACTCAGTTAAACAAGTGCTCTGAGCTCTCTGCAGAAAAAATTCTCCTTTCAGTACAGAATTTCATGTAGCATTGCAAGGTTTTTGTGAAAAGGAATATGTGAAGCTTGTGAATATGTGAATATCTATGGCCTTTCCAAGATAATTAAAGCACAGCAGTCACTCACTTCAGATATTGGTATCAGTTTGATTTAGGAAAATTTTTTAAAGTTTATTGCAGAATAAAGCTTCTAAAGAAGGTAGTTTAGAGGTGAAAGGTTAGTATTCCCTGGGTGTCTGTTATGTTACTGTCTTTAATTTTTAAGTTGCAGCAAAGTCCATCTTATTTATAGAGAATTTTTCTTTTTCTTGTGTAAGTTGTAATGTGCAATGAATCAAAACTTAACCCTAACAGTGAATATTGAAATTTAAACACTTTGTTCTTTTCTAAATGAAATAAAAGATGTCCATTTTCTATCTTTTTTTTTTTTCTCTGTACAAAAGTACAGACATTTCGAGTGAATAATTGTAGTCTGATCTAATATTTGTCTAGTATTTCAGCCCTAATCTAATTACATTTAATTAAATTTTAACCATATTGTTTGAATTTACTGTTTCTAGAAGAATCTTAACTTTGGATATATTCTTAGGTATTGAAGTTAAGGCAGAAAGATTACTGGAAGAACTTGATAATGGGGTCCTGTTGTGCCAACTGATTGATGTTCTTCAGAACATGGTGAAAACCTGCAGCTCTGAAGAACCAGGGGTAAGGAGATGTCAGCAGTAGTGATTGTATACCTTGGAGCATACTAATTTGTTTATGTACTTTTCTTATCTCTACAAGATTGTAACCTTCCACCCCAACTATCTATAAGACCTTGGGTAATTAACCTTTTTTGAGAATCAAGAAAAATATTCTTGCCTATAAGGTAGAGATATTAACATTTACCTTGTAGCATTTATTGGCAAAGATTCAGCAAAATTAAATGAGATAACCTATAAATTGTGTTTAGTTTAGTGCCTGGTGCATAGTAAATATCTAGTAGCTCTAGCTCTTCTTGAGAACAACAATATAGGATGGTTGTGAGAGTTAAATGAGAGAAGAGCTTGTGATAGTTCCTGGTACACAGGAGCTGTTATCATCTTTACATTCTTCAGATACTGCCTGAGTAAGTTCCATAAATATTGGTTGAATGAATACTTTTTTAGCCAGTTTTTCTCTGTTGACCCTCAAGGTCTGATCTGAAGTAGATAAGGTTTTCTCTCTTTTCATCAAGCGTGGTGTTTTCACATGGGGTCTGGGCACTCACACAGTGTTGGTGAAGAATGAAGTGGCATCATCCTTCTGGGGGACAGCGGGTGATGTATGTATATCACATTGAAAATAGAGCACATCCTAAAAAAGGTGAAGGGATTAAGAAGTCCAAATTTGTAGTTACAGAAGAGTCACGGGGATGTAAAGTACAGCATAGGGAATATAGTCAATCATATTGTACTATGTACAATGCCAATTGGGTACTGGAAATGTTGGGGGGAACACTTTGTAAACTGTATGATTGTCTAACCACTATGGTGTACACCTGAAACTAATACAAAATAATATTGAAGGTAAACTGTAATAGAAAAATAAAATTTTTAAAAAAAGAAAAGAAAGCACACCCTGAGATATATAACATAATTCAGCAATTTGTTCTAAGGAAAAAAAATCACAAATTCACAAAAACAACTGTGCAAAAAATTAGGAACATCCTAAATGCTCATCAGTAGAGAAGTTGTTAAAAATTTGTTATGGAACCTAAACACGCTGGAATATTATCCATTCGTTCATGAGAAATGACTATTTTAATCTGTTCTTTTTTACTCTAAAAGATGCCTACAACCTACCTTTAAGTGTGCATGAGCACGTACACACACAAATCAGACTGTGGAATAGTGTGTGTATGTAACATTCTGTAGGTACAGATACCTACCAAGAGCATACTTGTGCCCGGAGATATCTTACTAAAATGTGGGTGAGCCCGGCTGGGCGTGGCTCAGCGGTTGAGCGTCGACCTGGGATCCAGGCGATCGGGGTTCAATTCCCGGTCAGGGCACATGCCCGGGTTGCGGGCTCGATCAATGACTTTCTCATCATTGATGCTTCTATCTCTCTCTCCCTCTCCTTTCCTTTCTCTGAAAACAATAAAGATTATAAAAAAAAATAAAATAAAATGTGGGTGAGAGGATTTCAGTTGAACTAACCATCTTTGTATTTGTCTGTATTGTTTGATTTTATTTATTTATTTATTTATTTATTTTTGGTAATAATCATATATATTCTGTCTATATTAGAAAAGCTCACAAGGTTTTTTAATTCTGGAAAATAATAGCAGCAGGAAGGATATATAAGGAACTGGTAATAGTGGTTATCTCTAGGGGGAGAGAGGAACTGAGGGGTAGAGGTGGGAGAGAGACTTATGTCTTGTCTACTGTGCCTGTTGCGTTTTTAAAAATCATACGCATGAATTGTTTATTCAAGTAAACATTTAAACTAAAAACTGAAAACCTCTCAATCTCAGCAGGATTATCAAAATACTCTTGGTTCAGATAGTTAAAAAAGTAGGGTTCTGTAAAACTTAGGTCATCAGTTTTCAAAGAACTTGAATTAAGAATGGGAGACTACTTCCTTATTTGACTGTCCTCAGGAAACTCAGAACCATATTTTTGAATCTGCAAAGAAGGAAGTAAGCAAACATGAGGGTGCCTATTAATTTATTTTAAATTTATTTTAAATTTAAAAGATTCGTGTGTCATTTCAAGAAGAAAGAGGTTGGAAATATTTGACCCTACTGCTAATTTTAACCAGATTGTTTCTGAACTGTACTAAAGGAGAGTGAAGAATACCTAGTGGTGTATACTTTTTACTTGCACTGAATGCACGGAACATTTCTTTAGTGATATTAAAATGGGTATCTAATGAAAGTATCTGTGATGCGTTTTTGAAATTATTCTTTTGTCTTTTCCAGAATTTTCCAATGAGAAAAGTGCCCTGTAAGAAAGATGCTGCCTCAGGTTCGTTCTTTGCTAGAGACAATACCGCGAACTTCCTTCACTGGTGTAGGCACGTTGGGGTCGATGAGACTTACCTCTTCGAATCTGAAGGGTTAGGTAAGGATTCTTGTCGTCACTGTTTTGTTTAATGTTTATTAGGATATTATGTATATCTCATTTCTAATTTTTCTTTCCGATAAGAACTCAAATGCCACATCTCGTTTTGCTAGAAAAATTTATACTTTAAATATATGTGAAACAATTAGAGAATCTGATTATAAATTAAATATATTAAGCTTTTCATTTATAGTTAAAGATCTGATATATCTAGATGCCCTAGAAATACTTTACTTCCTAAATGAGTTGGCTATGGGAAGTTTCTGGAGGAATGCTTACTAATTAATGTTTTCATCAAGAATTATTCTACCATGTCTAAATTACTAGTAAGTCCTCTTTAACTAGATAATTATAGAAACAGTAGAAGGCTAGGTGATGCATGTTCATGGTATTAGATTTACCTTGTAAGCAGCAGCTGCCAAGTTGATTATCTAAATTGATTAATGCTTTTGACAATCCATTTGAAAAAGTCATGCTCCACTGCAGAATTATTCACATGCTCTCTGTACAGTTACTAAAGTGGAAGCTCTCTAAGTTTTAGACTATATATATATATATTTCCTTAAAGCACTTGCATCTGTATATACACACTCATCTATATCTCTTTACATGTGTGTGCGCATACACAGAGAATTTATGATGTTTTGATAGGAGCAGTAGCATCCCAAGCGCGGGGCTGTGGGAGTAGTCGCCTGCCCTGGGAGAGAGAAGTATCTGATCACTGGCGTTGTTTAGAGTTGCTGGTTCGTGGTGATAATAAAAAGCGAACTGACTTTCAGCCGGTTTTATTAGTTCTGAAATTCTCGGCTGACGTGGCACGCCCGTGCTGCCTGCGCGGGGCGGGCTGCCCCCGCCGCCCGCTCAGCGTCCTCTGGGGCCCCTGCCCATAGGCAACGGGAACGACGTGGGACTGCTCGGTGTTTCACCCCAGTCTGCACCCTGCTTCAGGCCGGTGTGCTGAGCATTATTGACAGCGTGGTCCATTTAATGGCATGTGCCGCATCTAGGGATCAAAGGGGAGGGGACTTGCTTTGAATTCTCTAGTTTCCAGTTTATTACTTCTGAAAGGATAGAAGATTGTTGTGTATTTCTCATTCTCAGTAGAAGGCGTCTTCAAACTGCCCTGACAGTCAGTATAGACTAAATAAAGTGGTGCCAATGACGATAATGCATTTCTAGGCATTGAGCTGATGAGCTAACGTTTTCACTTTCTGAAGGTCTCAGAGATGAGCCTCTCTGTTTTTTACATTTTGCTAGGAACTCAAAGCAATTAAAAAAATACACTATTTAAAGGTACATCTAAATGTTCAGAGAAACAAGTTTAGTAAAAATTTCGGTATAAATTCCTTTGAGTATGAATTTTAAAGTCAAACATAGGCCTTTTTATTGTTTTGTGCTTGGAGTGTATAATAGATGTTATTCATAAATCAAAGAACAGCTGTCATTTCCACTCAGGGAGTCAGTACATATGCAATTTATCACACGTAACCATTATTATAATAGAGTTCAGGAGTTTCCTAGAGCTTTTAACTCCTAAGGACAGGGAAAGAAAGTTTAGAGGACCCACAACTACCATATTGGTGCATCTAGCATGAGTTCTAAAGATCAGGCTTTTTTGTTTTGCTTTGTTTTATTTATTTTTTTAAGGATCTCTGTTTTGAACTCTTAGGCTTAGCATTTGGGCTTCTTTTTAATTAAAAAAATTTAATTGTGCCTGGTCGGGCATGCCTCAGTGGTTGAGCATCGACCTAGGATTCAGGAGGTCGGGGTTCTATTCCCAGCCAGGGCACATGCCCAGGTTGTGGGCTTGATCCCCAGTCGGGGGTGTGCAGGAGGCAGCAGATCAATGACGCCTCTCTCATCATTGATGTTTCTATCTTCTCTCTCCCTCTCCCTTTCTCTCTCTCAAATCAATAAAAATATATTAAAAAAAAAATTTAATTGTGGTAAAATATACAGAACAGAATGTACCATAATAACCATTTTTAAGCATATGAGGTTTTTTTTCTATAGCATTAAAAAAATTAAGATATACTTCATATAACATAAAATTCATCACTTCAAAATGTGCCCCTCAGTGGTTTTTAATATGTTCACTGTGTCATGCAACCACCACCACTAATTAATTCCAGAACATTTCCATCACTATCAGAAGAAAACCCGTACCTATTAGCAATTAGGCCCAATTATGTACTCCCTCCCTTCATCTCCTGGCAACCGCTAATCTATTTTTGTTCTCTATGGATTTGTGCATTCTAGACATTGCACATACATGGGGTCACACAGTACGTGGCCTGTGTCTGGCTTTAGTTAGCACAGTGGTTTGTTTATGTCGTAGCCTGTAGCAGGACCTCATACCTCTTCATGGCTGGATGCTATTCCGTTGTACGGATAGACCACAGTTTAAAAATTCATTATCAGCTAATGGACATTTTGGGTGTTTCTACTTTTTGGTTATTATGAGTAATGCTGCTGTGAACTTTTGTGCACAAGTTTTGGGGTAAACATTTGTTTTAAATTCTCTGAGGGACATACCTGTGGGTGGGATTTGGGGGCCGTACCGTAACTGTGTTTATCTTTCTGAGGAACTACCCCATTGTTCACAGTGGCCGTACCATTTGATGTTCCCACTAGCAATGCATAGGCGTTTTAATTCTGGACGTTTTCGTCAGTACTTGCTGTTTTTCTTTCCTTCACCCCTCTTTCTCTTCTTACATTACCGTCCCAGGCGTGAAGTGGTGTCTCATTGTGGTTTTGATTTGCATTTCCCTGATGCTAATGATACTGAGCACTTTTAATAGGCTTATTGGCCATTTGTATATCTCCTTTGGAGAAATGTCCATTCACGTCTTCTGCTCATTTATTTATTGTGGATACCAGGCCCTTATCAGATTCGTGATGTGCAATCTTCTTCCAGTCTTTGGGTGGTCTTTTCATTTTCTTGTGTCCTTTGATGCATAAGTTTTCAATTTTGATGGTCATTTTACCTTTTCTTTGATTGCTTGTGCTTTTGGTGCCATATCTAAAAAACCACTGCCTAATGGTCACACAGATTTTCACCTATGTTTCCTTCTGAGAGGTTTATGGTTTTAGTTTTTACATTTGGGTCTTTGATCCATTTTGAGTTATTTTTTTGTATATGGTGAGCAGTAGGGGGTCTAAATTCATTCTTTTGCATGTAGCTATCCAGCTTTCCTAGCACCATTTGTTGCAAAAACTTTTTCCCCTATTGAGTTGTCTCGGCACCCTTGTTGAAAATAAATTGAACATAAACATAGGTTTATTTCTGGATGCTCAATTCCGTTCCATTAGTCTATATGTCTATTTTTATGCCAGTAACACACTGTCTTGATGAGTGTAGCTTTGTAGTCAGTTTTGAAATTGGGAAGTGTGGGTCTTCCAACTCTGTACTTTTTCAAGATTCTTTTGGCTGTTCCATGTCTCTTGCAATTCCATATGAATTTTGTCATCAGCTTGTCCACTTCTGGAAGAAAAGGCTGTTGGAATTGATAGACATTGTATTGAATCTGTAGGTAAGTGTGGAGGGTCCTGCCATCTTATTATTACATCTTCCAATCCATGAACACAGGGTGTCTTTTCTTTAATTTCTTTCAACAGTGTTTTGTAGTTTTCAGTGTACAAGTCTTACACTTCTTTGGTTAAATTTATTCTTAAGTACTTTTTTCTTCTTGAAGCTATTTTAAATGGAATTATTTTCTTAATTGTATTTTCCGATTGTTTCTTGTTACGTTTAAAGTGCAGTGATTTTTGTATATTGATCTTGTAACCTGCAACTTTGCTGAACTTGCTTGTTAGCTCTGATAGCTTCTTTGTAGATTATTTAGGGTTTTCCATTCTAAGGACCACACAATCAGTGTGTAGAGATAGTTTCCTTCTTTTTCAACCTGGATGCCTTTTATTTTATTTTTTTGTCTAAATTCACTTGGTAGAACCTCCAGTACAATGTTAAGTAGAAAGGGTGAGAGTGGACATTCTTGAATTTTCTCTGGTCTTAGGAGGAAGACTTTCAGTCTTTCACCATTCAGAGTGATATTAGCTGTGGGGTTTTTTTATATATGTACATTTTCATATGTATAAAGTTCCCATCTATTCCCAGTTTGTTGAGTCTTTTATTACGAAAGTCTCTTTGATATTGCCAAATGCTTTTTCTGTCTGCTGAGATAATTGTGTTTCTTTTTCTTTATTCTATTAATTTGGTGTATTGTAGTGATAGATTTTTGTATGTTGAACCAGTCTTGCATTTTGGGGTGAATCCCATTTGCTTCTGGATTCAGTTTGTCGGTATTGCATTGAGGATTTTTATATCTATATTCATAAAGGATATTGATCTTTAGTTTTCTTGTGATGTCTTTTTTGGCTTTGGTGTCAGGGTAATACTGGCCTCATAGACTGAGTGAGGAAGTGCTCCCTCCTCGTCAGTTTTTTGGAAGCATTTAAGAAGGCTGTTAACACATAGTCCTGCACTAAAGGTAGCTTAGAATAAAATCGAGGTGACATTGATATGTGTCTTCAAATAGTACCTCCTGTTGAGAGGTCTGCATTATAAATAACTTAATGTTACCTATGCCCTTAGTTTTTCTAGAATTAAAATGCTATACAAATAAGGGTGCGTTGCAAATTTTCACCCTCTTCTTAGCCATTTAAAAAAATTATGGAAGGTGAGGATACGTGGAGAAAACACAAATGCCTTTTTAAGACTCCAAAGACACATAATGTCTTGATCATGTTATTTTATTTTACTTCTTCCATGTCAGAAATATATTTCTCTATTTAACTTTGCCCCTAAAATATGGTGTGTGTTTTTCCCACAGTTTTGCACAAAGATCCAAGACAAGTGTATCTCTGTCTTCTTGAAATTGGTCGAATTGTGTCAAGGTATGTATTCCACAAGATTTCAGAATTTCAATGTCATAAATATTTTTAAGCTACTTTACTATAGCTAGAACACTCTTTTCTGTAAATAAAAGAAAATAATTTTTATTGAAATAAAGTAACCTAGTTTCCTGGTTTTTGTTTGTTTCTTTAACTTTGCTCTGTTTGCCTGAGCTATGTCACGTGGCAGCATCTGCTTGCTCACATAATTTGCCTTCATTTAATGCTAAACTGTAAAAGTAGTTACTTAAAAATGTTTAGGTTAAGAATAAAGTAAGAGAGCATGCAGCGTTTAAGCAGGTCAAGGCAAGGCAAGTCCTCTGGACACGAAGAGGAGCTGATGAGAAGGTGGGGCCTTGTGTCCTTCCACCTGGCTCAGCTCCATCATTTCTCACAGCTGCGTTTTCAGGCGCCTTTCGGAAGCCTTGGTTGAATACTGAGAGCATCCGGTAACCCAAATGTATGCTCTGGTGTGAAGTTATCAGAATTTCTGGCTATCTATGGGACATTAAAAGCATTTCTGGAGGTCCCAGTGAAACAGTTGGTAGAGTAGGGTCATGCAGACTTCGTTTTAAAATAAAATAGAACCAATTGTGATATGCAGGGAAGTCCCTGGGTAGGACTTTGCTTGAGTGATGAAATCTAACTGTTTTTCAGATATGGGGTTGAACCACCAGTATTGGTAAAACTTGAGAAAGAAATTGAGCTAGAAGAGACCTTACTCAATACTTCTGGGCCCGAAGACTCCGTCAGCATCCCCAAATCGTGTTGTCAGCAGGAAGAGCTGCACGAAGCGGTAAGTAATTGTCACACTTTCAACCATGATGTGTGAGTCTCCTGGTTTGCCACAGGTGATACTGTGTTTAAAGAAGATGTTTCTTATTTACAGAAATCACTAGTGCTGATTTCCACTCCTGGTGAGTTCAAGGTACTATATGATAAAGGCAGATTTTTGTGGCTTATGTATGGTGAAGACTGGAGTTGAGGAGTGTTGGGGCAAAAAACCTGGAATCCATCATGAAGGGTACTATGGGCCACAAGAATTCACTGATTC